ATATGAGACGGAGAAAGTTATAGGTTATATATACTTCTTACGCCGGTCAATGAACATATCCCCGTCACGTGGACAAAGTCAAGGGTAATAGCTAGTAACATATCCCGTTCTCGGAGACGAAGTCGCGGGTAAAAGAAAGTATTTCTATATTAAAAGAAATAAAGTTCCAAAACGTGCAAACAAATCCCACTGCTATGATACCCTGTTTACAATAATGACCCTATTTTTTAGATTTCGGTCCCTCGTATTCTGACCCCATTTCCAATACGTATCTAGTTTCCAATAATAATTTTTTGGGTGTGAATATATGTAAATATGTATACAGGGTGAAATCGATAGCGTCCTAATAAGGAAGTGTTCTACCAGTGAATTTAATTAATAGAACATAATTATGTTTGCCGTTAGTGACGACGCTGCGATATAAGCACCGTACTCACCCTGAAGATTTTCGGTTCATTATATTCCCATTATCCAGTATTGTGCTAACAATTTCATTATCCGTATGATATTGGTATTATATTAATATTGGTATACCGCCTTTTGTACATCCAATTGCTTATTATCTATTTTCTTTATGATATTATTTTGTACCAGCCATATTATTACTATATACTCTATCTTACCCACTCATACATTTATACCTCTTTACAATTGGTTTCCATGACAATGTATTACTTAATCATTGCTGTCAATATCTGAACTGTAGCAATATGGCTTTTAATTGTCTTATATATTAATTAACCTGACTTTATGAACACTCATTATTATACATGGTTTCTTTCATACATGTGCTTATATTACTTGCATACACCCACTCTAACTTGCCTACCTTGCTTTGGAATTATAATTTTCGTTTGTATAAATAAAATGCGTTATTGGCTGTATTCATAAGAGACTTGGCATGTAGGTTGTGTTTTTAAGAGCTGCGGATTTTTGTATAAAATAAATAAATACATATTCCGTGGTTTTGCCACGTGAATCAGTATATAAAGTATGCTATGTGCTAAGTAAGGATATAACCTACTTGTGTACCAAATTTCATTCAAATACTTTTAATACTTTTTGCATGAAAGAATTGTAAGAGACGATTTCGTCGATTATATAAAGTGATTATTAGAAAGAAAAAAATTATTCAAAGAGAATTGTGTATTTTTACTAGAACAATGAAGGACAAAAGGTAATGTCGAAAAATAATTTTAAAATTACTGTCAAAGTCTATATATATGAAATTATCTCTAGACAATAGCAACAGTAACAAATATTCATCAATCCATCCATCGTTACAAACTTTAGCATTTATTATATTAATAAAATTTTATTGGTGATTGGTAAGGGGCTGGTCACATGGCTAGAATTACTAATAACATTTACGCAAGAAGGTTCTCGAGTGCAACAGAGCAACCCCTTACGAACAAACGAAGTGAAACGACTCGCAACTAAGTAGGATGCCCACGGCTTTTCATGTCCATAGGTGACATAGATATTTAGATTCAGATAGTTTATTTGCATTATTTATTATTATTATACCTGCCGTTAACTGACTACTGCTGAACATAAGCCTGTCCCATAGATTGCCATAAATAATGATCTTGAGCCTCCTGCCACCATTGACATCTTGCAATGCATATGAGCTGCTCCATCTAGTGCAGATGTCCAGCGGAATATGTTGACAGACCGAGATAAAAAGTCTATGTCTAGGAAGAAATAGACTTTTTGGTGAAATTTGGCACGCACGTACTATAAGGAATGGAGAACCATTCCTTATTTCATAATGATTAAGGTATTAAAGCTAAAATTAAAGCGCTAAGAGGTAAGAAACAGACATCCTTTTAAGAGATCTCTTAATGGGATAAATCCGCCATTAATGTATTCAGTATGAATTATGTACAAAAAAGATTTTACAATACAATACTTTTACATAAATAATATTAGCAAGGATTAGACCCACAAAAAATAATAAAATTATACTATTACTTGGTAAACCAAAAAGACGTTTAAGAGGAAAAATTTGTTTACCTAAACCCTTAGAGGATTTTTGCTTCGCTATTCTTTTTTTTTTGTAGCATATATTATATATAAAAGAAAAAAAAATATATAATAAACAATAAACATGCTCGTAAATGTTTCGACCTTGACATTATCCCATATCACCTTCCAAACTATTCTATGTTTTATTGCTATTCCCTAGCAATAAAACATGAAATTTTATTATTCCGGCTTCCAATTATTAGTTCATAATTAGTAGTGGGGGCTAAATACATGTACAGCTTTATAACAATTCCGTACTAAACAAGTACAACGGGATCGATTCTGAGGCACCATTTTCCTAAACCTATCTCCAAAATTAAAATTTCAATTTGATATATAAGCGAAACCATATCAAGTTGAAAGAACAATTGTTAGAAATAAATAAATAAATTATCGCAATCTGCCAACCCTGTACGCAAATCTTGGGCGAGCATATTAGAATTAAACATGGCAGGGGATAGAGCTTACAGCCATCACTCGGATTAATTTGGATTGTATTTTTCAACACCGATAATGAATTCAGGCCAAAGGTTTTATGTTTTGTTTGGCTAGATTCGAACTCACGACTTATACCAATGGGCCATGAATGTGTGTTACGCAATATCTTCGCCATTTCTTTAAATAGTATTTTTTTTTTTTTGCATTTCATAGGTTTTAGTCTTATCGTTATATCGTTAATTAAATCGTTATAATCAAATTTCTAATAATAATCTAAGTTATAATAATCAAAGTTTTATAAAATAATCGTATAAATCGTTAATTAAAACAAGCTTAGATGTTTTTTTTACTTAATAGATACTAATCTACATTAACAGAGAATCTATTCTAATTCACGCGATCAAAACCGGGTGATACAGCTAGAAATTATTAATATATTTTTTTCGAGTTTTTATAATGTTTGTATACAAGGAAACTCCGTGGTTTTTCCTCGATTGAATCCAGTTATCTTAAGTTTCCGTGCGTATTCCCAAAAAATTTTTACTTAGAAGATAATATCAAATAATTAAATATAGATTAGTGCCATAGAAATTTTATCAAAATCGGTTCAGTAGTTTAGTTTAGAATTCAAAAAACTCAAAAAGTGGCAAGTTGGCAAGTTTTGCCATAACTGAAGTTTTTTTTTTTTACAACACAGGGGGCAAACGAGCATGCGGCTCACCTGATGGTAAGTGACTACCGCCGCCCATGATCACCCACAACACCAGCGGCATTGCAGGTGTGCTGCCGGCCTTTTAAAAATAAATATACTCTTTTCTTGAAGGTTATGTTGTCGTATCGGTTCGGAAATACTGCTGCTGGAAGTTGATTCCAAAGAATGGTTGTGCGTGGAAGAAAGTGCCTTGAAAAACGCACGGTGGAAGACCGCCACTCGTCCAAATGATTGGGATGAAACTTTTATTTTTTGGCGGGTTGTACGGTGGTGAAAATCAGCAGCAGGTATCAATCCGAACAATTCCTCAGAACACTCCCCATGATAAATTAGTTAGTTTCTTTTTGTGGAACAATACGTAACGACTTTTTTGTACAGTAAAAATATTCTCGTACTTATTAGGTCTCAATTCATTAAATATACATATACCTATTCAACGTGATCATACAGAAATCTCGATTTGTTGCAACGTGAATTAGTACTATCATACTAATTAATATACGAACGAACAAAGGGTTAGATAATTTTGAACTTTACGTTAATAGTTATAAGGACGCTTGATGGTGATGAATCTAGAATGATCGTGAGTATATCAGCAATCAGAGCATACAGTCGTTAATTGAAATGGTAACGTTTATGTTTACGTTTCATTATCACAATTTCTATCTACGTACTTTATTTGCGTACACACAGACTTATAAGTAAAAATAGGGACAAGTGAAAGAATGATAATGAAAGAACATGGCGTGAAATCAGAAAACGATCCAACTAAAAATATTTACATAGATATATATTAATAATAATAATAACGGTGCATTCTATTAATGTTATAAATATACATGTGGCTTTGCTCGCGTGAGTTTGAATATCCATTGTTTTCATCTAAAAAAATATTTAAAGATCTACGAAATTATGTTCAAATCCGTTTAGCTGTGTCAGCATGCTTGATTAATATTCAAATATCTTTACAAAGTTTCACATCAACTCGTATATAAATAAAAATCAATTGCCGACAGTATATAAGCAAAAACCTATCTCGCCAATTCTTTTTTTTTTGTTTGTAATAATCAGAACAAGTTTCATATCAGCCGTTAACTGTACACTGCAGAACACACACTTGCCACGCTTGGCAGGCGGGTTGGCAACCGCAGTTAAGCTTTCAGAGATATTATAAGAGGGACACTGCTGCCCATTCCTTGACCACTAAATTCCCTTAGTCTTACGACACTGAAAAGAAAGGGTGGCCCATTCTATGGCGGAAACACAGAGAGCAGTTTGTATGAAAGTAAATGTTTGAAAATCATACACAAGAACAATTAATGTAATAAATAATAATTTTGGTCAAAAATCTCCACAAAAAAAAGTGAGTGAAGGAGAGGAAAGATTTAGTCTCATTTTTTCATTAGTACTCCCGTGCGAAACCTGGACGGACAACTAGTTTATAATATTATACAGGAAATACAAGTTAATAATTATAATTTTAATGTTTTTACACAATTACATTAATTAAAAGCCAATAAAAGATTTCAATTTTAAACCAATATATCAATAAAAGATTGACTGGTAGAGAATGCTACTAGCCACCTTTTGTACCTTAATTTATTTTGATCAATAAAGTTATCTAAATTAATAAACAACGACATTTTATTACATACTCTCATTACATTCAATATATTTTAATTTAGAACGCAAAATAGTGTTTTAAAACACACAGTATTTGCTTCGCAAAAAAACACTTTTTTCTCTGGAAAAAAACGGCATCCACGGTCATCTAACATAATTATAATTCTAGTTATATATTTAATTATACCGTTTTACTAACCGTGGTTCAGTCTAAATTTGCGGTGTTTGTCCATGACCGCCGGCTCTACCAGTGCTGAGATCTCGTCGAGTGCCAACGCCGCGCCCGTTCTGCACCTCGCGTCCGGGCAAGACACCTCGTATGCACCGTTGCATACTTCGAACTCCACGTACGCTTTCATACACTGCAACAATTACATATTATTATTAGGATTTAGAAATAGATTGCTTTTTTTTATATCATTTAGAATAGCATGCGAGCAGAAAGCTCAGTGTTTTTTTTATACAACATAGGGGGCATACGTGCATGCGGCTTACGTGATGGCAAGCGACTACCGCCGCCCATGATCACCCACAACACCAAAGACATTGCAGATGTGTTGCCGGCCTTTTAAATAGGAATATGCTTTTTTCTTGAAGGTTATGATTTTGTACTGATTTAAGTTAAGAGTTTTGGTTAAGAGGTTGATGCTGAAAATTGATTCCAGGATTGATTGTTGATGGAAAATAACAACATTCATAAAATTAGTAAAAAAGTGAAAATAATGAGCTACTAAGCGCTCATCGTCGCCTGCACACGCTGAGCGTTGTTTCGTTTACCAGACAATTTTAAGTTGATTTATTTAATAACTTGTAGGAGAAAATATATTTTCAAAAATAAAAATAGCTTGAGAAACTTGAAATATCAACAATTTAATAGAAAACTGGCTAGGGTCGTTCACTGGTGTGGCGTGACATCTGCTTAGCTACACGACAATAAAACTTTACTTGCAAGGCATAAAACTAACTAGAGCTGGCCATATAAAACCTTGTAAGATATATATAATTTTTATAGCACGTACTGGTTACAAGTAAACGTAATTATTACTTTGTAAATTTAATGATTTATTTGTCTGAAAATATAGGAACAAATTTTCAACAACCATTATTTAATTACAACCCACGCACACACACACACACACACACACACACACACACACACACACACACACACACACACAAACGCTGTAATAAATTTATTGTATTACAGCACAGGACAATACTATTTTACCGTCACAATCTAATAGGAGATTAAAATGTAGGCATTTATATGGTAATGCTTTTAATTTTCCATGATGAAATCATGAACGTACACGGAAATTTTGAATTTAAAAAACGAAAATTCGTCTTACAACTCCATACACTTTGCTCTATTATAGTGATACGATAAAATCGTACAATATTATGTCGTATTATGTTAAATTATAGTGCCCAACAGCGACAATATAAAATATGCATGGCAATCATAAATTGTCAAAAACTTATAAATATATCTTGTTTTAACAGTCAAGTTTTTACGACTTTAACACGTTCATTCAATATTTAAGTATTATACTTTAAAGTTGGATAAGATCCAAGCTGTGAAATTAACAGCCATTCTGAGTGACGATTAGAGATATGGGGTAACTGCAGAGTTATGAACCTATAGATACATTGACGTAACCACAACAATCTTCCTGTACCATCATTATAATTATTATAAACGTATCAACTGTAAACGCTTTCTTGAGTGAGTTCGCACGCGACGGTCTCAGTGTATCGTCTGTGCGGTAGGGTTGTCAATAATCCCATTGCTGGACACAGGTTTATACACATAAGACGACGATATTACCTTCCTGTTACCATGGTAGCTACCTAGCTACCATGGTAACAGGAAGGTAATATAAACCTTCGCCAAGCTACCTAGGTTGGCGAAGGTTTTGACACGAGTTTTCCTTCTTTCACTGGTTTATTATGTTTCCTTTCTGCGATCACCTCTTTGTATTTTGTTTGTATATGTCGTAGTTTACTTAATACAAGCTTTGCTTAATATGTGACTAGAGGGCGCTGTAATATATTTAGCGTTATTAGTTTTTAGTCCATGATATTTTTCTTACTCGTATGTTGGCAAGAATTAGCTAATTTATTCATTTATTACACCAAGACAAGAATGACATCAAGGCTCAATTTTCATTTCGATGAAGAACAAAAAAAATTCTCACTCCTTACAAAACTGTAACATTTTATAGATATTTAAATATTAATCAAAGATATTACTAGATGCATTTACATTTATTACATAAAAATGACAAAAATTAAATAAATAATTCTAGTCAATCAAATGCTAAGAAGGCAGCCCTATCCGCTCAGGATGACATTTTGATATTATTTGATGAGTATTAAATATTATATAAATAATATGTTGATGAATGGTAAGCAGCTACAAGTCTATAAACCTACCTATTACCGTGAAGGTTGCGGTTCGTATTAAGTGACCATAATATTATATAACCACAATATATTATGATGTCTTTCACGTATACGAGTATACTTCGCAGAACTTTTACAATGGACTGTATCATAATACATACAAACATATCTGTCACGCCTGTCTCCCATTAGGGTAGGCAGAAACAATGGAACGCCAAATGTTTCGATTCAAACAAACATCTTTCGCCTCTTCCACATTCATCAATCTTTTCATACACGCTCGCCGGTTACGGGTACTTTTAATTTGGCCCTTCTTCAGCACATCGCCTAATTGGTCGACATACGTCCGTCTAGGGCGGCCCCTACTGACATCTCCATTCATTCTTGCTGGATAAATCTTTTTTGTAATTCATTCATCCATCCTGTCCAAATCAATCTAATATGCAATCTCAAAGGTGGAGAGGAGGGACGAGTCACCTGCCTTGAGCATATTGTACAATATTATATCAACCGTTGACTGTCCACTGCTGATCATAAGCCTTCCCCTATTAGGAGGTTTTGTAGTTGTTGCCAGTAGTTGCCAAGCTTGGCGGGTTGGTAACCTCAGTTAAGTTTTAGTGAATATTTTAAAAGGGATGCTGCTGCTCATCCCTCGCCCATAAGTTCCCTTTGTTGCCCTTCACGATACCCATAGGAAAAGAAGTAATCCATTCTGTGCCGGGACCACAAGACCATTTACAATATAACAAAGTTTACCAATCCAATCTTTAAGCTTTACCAGTTTTGACTTTCTGTTCAATTTTCTTTTTAACACCTGTATCGTCTGGAAGGCAGTTGCTAGACGTGCGTTTCGCAGAACGCGTTTGGCTACGAACGAATCCCGCAAAACAAAGTCGGCTATCCAAAAAAACAGCGTAGTCCCTTCCTTTCTATAAAATATAAAAACGCGTGAAAAAAATTATAATGAAATTCTGAGTAGACTACAAATTTCTTTCCTATATAAAAACACTGGGGACTTGAGGAAAAATTTTCAGTTTAATATTGAAAATTTCCAAGTAAGTTAAGTACATTTTTCACATTAAAGTCGGGAATTTGCTATTGTCTTATCAGTTTTAATAAAACTTCAAGACATTACAACATTTACCAATCAAATTGAATATAACAAAACACGGATGTAATTACAATAAACACTGAAAATAGCATTCTAAATTGCTGTTCTAAATTTGGATATGAAATAAACTTATCATTTAATGGCGCATGCAACTTGCTTGCTAGCTGACTCTGTTCCGGATAGAGGGGTAAGATTATGGCAGGGAAATTATAGGGTATTGTGACATAAAGACTATGTCAAAGGAGTCGGTAACACGCGACGATTAAAACTATGGTGTTTCAGCCGTCAATAGGCCATCGCCAGTTTGTTCTACAAACCTGAATTCGATTTTGTATTTTAAGTATTAGAAAAATAAAAAAATTCCTTTAAAAATCATTACAATCAATTTATAGCTGGCGAATATTTCGTAATATAGTCACAAGAACTATGTTTTTTAAAAGCATTTTTATGACGCTTAGAATGACAAATAAACTAACAGTCTATCTGATGGAGAGTAGAAAATATTGCTTATAAACATAAATAACATAATGCCCATGGTACACCTTATAGTTATCATTTCTGAAAACTATGGATGTTTAGACTTCGTGCCCTATAATTTCACAGTCATATCCCACTCTTGAAACCGAAACACTGCCATGCGAGCATAGCTCAAGCATGGATTGTTGATTTTCATGCCATCATTCGTAAGAAGGTCGTGTCAATAGTGAAAAGAATGCGGGAAGTGGCAACACCATCCTTAAAATGATAACTGAGAATGTCCATGCACCTGTGATGGGGCATTTCGTTCTTTCTCAAGTATATGATTTATTGAATTATAACCATGTTAGTAACATGGTTTTAAGTCTAGTACTAACTAACTAACTAACAAAATAGATCTTGCTATCTGGCATTAAATGGATTCGCATTTGAATAGCTAATTAGACGGATGAGTTTCGATGCAAACGACTTTTATACAGTCTTACTCTGGTAAGAACATAGGAACTTTTGAGCACGCGATTTCAAACTAGAAGAATTGGCAAGAAACTTGGCTGACTTTATTTAGGTTTTCATGTCTTGTCTATTAAATTCAAGATTGCCAATAAAAGGTTTCATGAAGTGTCGCCCACAATATCACATGGATGCCAAACTAGGGAGTGTTATGAGAGCTGAGCTCGGATCGGGGATAATCCCGGCTCAGTAAGGATGAATGTTTGTTATACACGTACGTACGTATATATCATATAAATCTTCTGAATTATACCAACGGTTATAGGGCAATTTCACATAGTCGGTATTGTTAAGATTAGCGATTTTATTCTACGACTGATCAAATATTATTGGGATCACAATGTAAAAAATAGAATGTTTCTGTGAATTCAGTGTCCTCTGAGACGGATTATATATTAATTTCTAATCAGCCTGAAAGCTGGGTACCTCTTTATAATTTTCTTGGAAGAAACTGCGCGATCTGCACACTATTACTATATATGTAATTACTTATAGAAATACAAAGAGTATCAAGCTTATCATAGTATATTCTGCGGGTGGGAAAGAGGGGGGGGGGGGCATAATAAAGGACTCTAATAGCCCCATTGCTAGCAATATAGAACATATTATTCACGATGGGCCGACTGACTTACCTTCATCCTCACCCATCATCTAACACTGGTGCCCTGAGGAGGAAGGGATTATTAGTAATACGAACTACCATTCCTATTGCCAGATATACCCTGTCAGGTCAAACTTCATGTCCCCCCCCTCCCCCACTGGATTCCATCGGCTGAATTCCTAGTGTATTTATCATGATGTGATACTTATCTTTTAATCTCACCTGTCATCTTTCACTAGTACCCCGCCAGCGTATAC